GGGGGAGTTGGGGGGGGGGGGGGGGGCTCCGTGCTCTCCCTGTTTTGTGGAGCAGCATCCTCACACCTTGCGTGGCAGCAGGGCTGATAGCATTGCTGTGGGTCCCTTGTCCCATGGAGACCCCCGGCTGTCCCTGCTGTGTCCCCTGGGAGAGCAGTAGTTCACGATCTCCGCTCCCACCCAGGTCTGCCTCACGGACGGTGCCAAGGATGAGTGCAATGTGGTGGAGGTGGTTGGGCGAAACCACGAGAACCAGGAGATCGCTGTGCCTGTGGCGAATCTGAAGTTGTCATGCCAGCCCTTGGTAGGAGGTTGTTTTGAAGACTTGGGTGGGGATGGCTGCAGGGAACTGGACATCTCTGGATGTTTGTGGACCTTCCCCCTAGGATCCTGGCCACGAGCTGGTCTGCAGCTCACGGGGAAATGCCCTGGGTAGCCTCAGCCTGGCTGCAGATGCCCTCAGAAGGACATGTTGAACTGGGCCGGGTGCCGTGCTGGGGACTGCAGGACATTCTGCTTTTTGCCTCTGCCACTAACTCAGCTCCATCTCTGTTTCTTTGCAGCTGAGTCTGGACAACTTCAAGCTGCAGCCTCCGGTGACCTTCCGCCTGGCGGCGGGTTCTGGCCCGGTACACCTTGCTGGCTGGCACCAGATCGGTAAGGACTAGTGGGTGGGGAAAGGCTTGGCAGGAGCGAAGGTAATGGAGGGGCTCCCTCCAGCAAGAACGCCGACTGGGGAGCCCCTGGGAGATGCGCTTGGTGCTGCCCAGCACGTGGACTTTGCCTCCTTTGTGCTGGTTTCCCAGGGGCCGTCTCCATGCAGGGATTCCTTCCCTGCCGTAAAGCCTTGCATGGGAAAAGGGGGCTGGATGACCCACACTGTCCCCTTTTCCCATGGCTGACTGTTGCCATTCCCCTCCGAGATGTCCTTCCAGCTGGGATACAGCTTATTGCCCACAAGCTGCTGTTAAAACTGCTCCAGCACTCCTTGGGCTGCTCTGCTCTTGGGGTGTCTTGGGGGCCAGTTGTATTTGCAAAGACATACGTTGGTGAGTAACAGAATTATTTGTGTGTCCCAGTGCACAGGGAAGATGCTTCCTTTGAGGAGGATGATGACTTGTCTGAGGAGGAGGAGGAGGAGGAGCTTGCTCCTATCATGCCAGCCAAGAAGTAGAAGGGGAAGCAGTAACTTATCTCCAGGCAAGGTGAGGGGCCGGGCAGCCTCGGAGGAAGGGTCCGGGTGGCTGTGACGCCGGTGTGGCAAGCGTGGGTGGAAGCTGCCCTGCTGCAGGAGGCTGCTGGTCTCAGTCTGGTTCTTCCTCCAGGTACTCGCTGGGACTTCTCTCCCTGGATGGCTTTTACCTCGGACACCTCTTGCCAGGACCTCAATGTTTGCTGCTTTGTTTTTATTTTTATTTTTTTTCTGTTGTAACTTTTTGGGGAGCAGGGGCTGCTCCCAGCACTGGGGTGTCTCCTTTCCCACAGCCCTGGGAGGCTGATCCCAAAACTGGATGGATGCTGCTGGTATACCCCCTCTCCCCATCCCTGTGCTGGGATTTGGGGATGGAGGAGGTGATCCTTGCCCTGTGCCTTTTTGCTGTCCTGGACCTCTGCTCTGTGCACCCCCTCTCCCTAGCTCTGAAATACCCAGTCCTGGCCCCTTCCCCAGCAGATGGACGTAAAGCCAGTGGTGGGACAGGCAGTTTCACTGATTCTAGTGTGTTTGCTTTATTTGCTCACAATTTGATGGTTTTTATACACTTGGAAGTGTGAAACTGGGGCCCAGGCTGCGTCCTCAACTGCAGTTATGGTGGGGTGGGAGCTCACAGCCTATTTGTGATTTGGGGGGAGGTTCTGGGTCAATCTGCTTTGTAAAGAACTGTTTTTACACTCTGAATAAAGGTCTCTCAGGCGTCAGGTCTGGAGGGGGGGTCACTGCTGGCTGGCAGGTTCCTCCCATGTGCACCGCAGTGGGAGATGCTCCTCTGTGTCCAGTCCCTGACACTTGCTTCCCTTGGCGATGGCTGGGGGCTCCTCTCTCTCCCTTGTGGGCTCTGCACGCTTGTGCCCCATGAACCAGCTCAGCGCTGCATCCAAGCTGCTGAGGGAAGGGGCAGAGTCGCAGGTGGCTGTATGGGGCAGGGACCCAGCTCCACGTGTGCTCCCAAAGGTAACCCAGCTGTTAGCAACACCCCCCTGGTTTGGGTCATATTGGCCCTGGTGCTGGGCACTATCACAGCAAGGTCCTCGCTTATGTCTTGCTCTCAGCCCAGCATTATCCTATGGAGGGGTGAAACACCAGTGCCTGCAGGGTGTGGGGCAGGTTTGAGCTCTGACCTTTGCTGGGGAGTCATGTCCTCCCATGTCTGGGTGCCTGGAGAGGGTTTGATCTTTTCTGCGCTTCAGTCAGGTGGCACTTCTCACCCCCGGGAGCTGGTCCTGTCCTTAAAACTTTCTCTGGTGGTTTCCCTGCATCCGATCTTGCATCCCTGGCCCATGGGCCGATGCCTGTCCCGGCCCTCCTTGTTTGTGACACTGGCTGTTGTCCCTGAGAAGCACCATGTACTGTCCTGCCCTGCTGGCCCTGTTGGTGTCCTGGGACAGTGAGTTTCTCGACTGCATGGACTCCAGTAGGAAATCCTCCAGGGCAGATCCTCAGCTCAGGCTCTGTCCTAGGTTGTTAGTGGGGCTGTTTCTCTCCTCCGGGGCCTGTGCAGCTCCCCTCTGCCTCCCACATCCCTGCTGTTTCCTTCCGGCCCCAAACAGCCCTTGACTACCACGGAGGGAGGCTTTGATGCCCCTTGCAGCAAAGGGGAAAGGACTGTTGGCATCTCGACCCCACGGCACAGGGCTATGTCCCTGGGGACCGTGCCTGCCTGGGAGGCACGAGAGGCCAGCG